CAGCACAATCTAGCATCACTTATACCACAGCTCAAATACCTTTTAAAAATCCCAGACAGTAATACTGTCTTTAGCAACCATTTGGTCAAGTAAAGCATATTTCCTAGAGACACGTTTCTTATCATTAAAAAAACCCAAACACGTGGTCTTTTTTCCCTTTTGTTGCTGCTGTTGTGCATGTGGAGTCCCTGGCTTTGATCAGCTTTTTCTGAATTTCAGCAATAATGACATTTTAAGAGTCCCTAATTTTCAGTCAAAAACTAGCCACATACTTGTTCCTCTGGAGGAATTTTAAGAAATTGCACATTTGCTTCTAGAATGAACAGATCGAGTACCTCAAAGGCTGAGCTCAACACAGAAATCCTTTGTTTTCGGTTCCTCCTCACCCCCCTCAACGTTCAGAGAGAGTGGAGGAAAAATACAGAACAGGTAACAATCCCAGTAACACAATTTTAAGTGAAGCAAGATCCATGCCAATTAAAGTGAAAATTAAGACTCATAAAATGCAAGCATACGGGTTAGGGAAAATATAATACAACACAGAATCCAAATAATTGGGGTAAAACATGGGAATAAGGACATCTAGCAAAGATACTCTTCAGACGTAAACTACAGTGTGTCTTTCCATAATGGAACAATTCTAATGCCATCAGAAGCATGAACCAAATTATCATGTCATAACCAGCAAAAGTTAAAGACCCTTCTATATTTGATCTGAAATCTGACTTTCAACTCTGGACAAATTTGGCAACGAGTTTGAGAAAGTCCAGAATAAAACTGGGGTATCAGCCCAGTCACCAAGGTCTAAATCATCTGTATGCTAACTCGCATTAAAATAGCAAACCATTTATAAACTGGCTAAGCAATAATTTATACACAAAGAACTGACAGTGGATTTCAAGAACATATGCACTTTAATGCACTGTGTTAATATGTTAAGGTTATACCAAAATTTAGAAATTTAGCCTAAGGATCAGAATTAGCTTCTTGTTGACATGTTAACTGTGAAGCATTTTATCCGAAGGATAATGAGGAAATTTTTAAAGGCAAGCCTGAACAAGAACTAGATAATGATCTTCAAAGAAAAGCTGGTTTATCGGATATTGAGACTGATGACCTGGAGCACTTTGAAATGCTTTATCTGGACATGTTTGGTCTCAGGAGAATGTTATGACAAAGTTTCTTATTGGTAGGCTGCAGGTAGGGCGAGAAACCACTCAGAAATCTCAGACCGTCGAGGAACTTGTTAGTTGTTCTCTGGGTTATATTTTATATGTAGTACTGAGGAAACATAACGATTTTCCTTGATTCAAATCATGAAACCAAAAAATACAACTTGAAGTCAGTAAATATGACCATTTTGTGTATGAAGGTATAAACACTCGGAGAAACCAATGATAAGTCAAAAACTAACTCTCTATATTACATACATATTTTCTTCATGAAAACAGAAGACTGTCACAATCCCTTTTTTATTGTGAGATAAAACATGTGAAACTGATGCCTTCAGATACCTCCTTTACTCAAACCCTTATCAATAGCTGAAAGGCGATTCCTAAGAAAACAACAATAGTGTTAATGACGAGGATCTAGCAGTTAGATGCTGGCTGCTTTAAGTGAGTCCAGAGTAGAAACAGACCTGTATAAGAAGTGGCATTTTCGATCACAAAGAAGTGTAACTTTTTCCAAGAAACAGATTCACACTCTAATAAAAAAGGTTAGATACTGTGGGGGTTTTTGTCTTTTTTTTCCTACTTGCCACACTTGCATAATATTCAAGAATAAGCTAAATAAAGTTCTCCAGATACTTCTGGTCCCACCTCTCCAGCTCTCAGAAGTCCCTGGCAGCTCTCCTACTAGCCTGTGAAGGAACCAAGGGCCAGAAATGCTAGGGGCCTGGCTCCACAGCAACCCACCAGGCAGGCAGCCAAGGAGCCAAGCAAACTGGCAGGAAACCAGGTAGGTTCCCAATTAAAGTTTTGCTGACACTGACAAATTCCCACAGACATTTTGATTTTAATCAGCATTTTTCTGACTAAAAACATTCTATTAAGAAAGTTCCACCACCTCTATGTAAGAGCAACAGGATGGGCATAACTGCTGAAATGCTACAGTCTAAAAAAAGAGAAGAAAACAAAAAAGAGAAAAAAGAAAAAATCAAAAATCCCACCTGGGTACGAGGTGATAACAGAAGATATTTTAGTGGTCCTTTCATGTAGCATGCCTGGTACCCAAGTATTTAAGTAAATGCCTAAAACGGCCTCTCTAACATCATCAAAGCGGGCTACCACCAAACCAGTG